GAGAGCTATTTCTCACTGGAAACCAGAGGGAAAGTCAGAAATCAGTTCTCCGGTGTGTTTGCTAGAGAGGGTGCAGCTTTTTTGGGACTGCTGCATGTGTGTGCTGTGGCTTCCCACTGAGGGAGTGCAGGTAAAAGCCATTGGTGACCAACTCCCAGGGACATTCCAGGAGCTACACTGCAGTACAAAGCTGTATTTTCAGCAGGTAGAAAGGGGCCTAGCTGCTGCATGGAAAGACTTGAGTGGGACTGTTGCCTCTGCAGGTCTAATGGTAACAACTTCTGTTTGTTTCTTTCTTCAGTGCTTATGGGAACTGGTTCCCTGGGAGCAAACCTCTGATCCAGCAGGCCATGGCCAAAATCATGAAAGCAAACCCTGCCCTGTATGTGTTGAGGGAACGAATCCGCAAAGGGCTGCAGCTCTACTCCTCAGAGCCCACAGAGCCCTACCTGTCCTCCCAGAACTATGGGGAGCTCTTCTCCAACCAGATCATCTGGTTTGTGGATGACACCAACGTGTACAGAGTCACCATCCACAAGGTGAGGCCAGAGGAGAGTCTCAGAGAAAGGACTGAAAGGGGTGGAGGTTTCCATGCGTGATGGAAAACTGGGAGCCAACACATGGACCCAAATGTTTGCAGTGTGCACAGAGTAGCTCCTGCTCAAAGCACAGAGAGAGTTGGCTCTACTGTAAAGGTGTGGGTGGGATCCATTTGTCTCCCTGCACTTCTCACTCTCACTTGTTTCCTCAGACTTTTGAAGGGAATTTGACCACAAAACCCATCAATGGAGCCATTTTCATCTTCAATCCCAGAACTGGACAGCTCTTCCTGAAGATCATCCACACATCTGTGTGGGCAGGGCAGAAGCGTCTGGGACAGGTAGGGCCTGGCTGTGCCTTGGGGGTGGGCTCTGACTGCTTGGGACACTCCCTTGAGCAGAAAACATCACAAACATCTTCATTCCTCTTAATGAGTTTGGAGCTCCAAAGTCCAAGTGGTCAGGCAGGAGCATGGGATATAAAAGCGGAAGAACACAGGCATTGCTGCTGCAAGGATTTTGAGGCTCTGAGGTGTAAAGATCCCACATCATCAAGCAAAGCTTGAGTAACAGTGCGGTGCTCCTTGTTACACAAATCACTCTGCACTTGGCTGTGCATCCAGTGCAGTGAGAACTCAGGTGGCAAATCCAGGGAGGTGGAGGAGCCAGCTGGTTTTTTCCAAGCCACTCAGGAGTAACTGAGCTCCAGGAATGGGAACTGCCCTCTGTGGTCAGTAAGGAGGAAATGCTGGGCCTTGTCATTGATCTGGAGCAAGCCAGAAATTCCAGTTGTATTTTTAGAATTTAGTTTGTGTCCCTTTGGTTCCCAGAGACATGGGGACACTGCTGGAGAGCAGGGGGATATTTCTCTAACCCTACTGTCTGTCTGTAGCTGGCCAAGTGGAAGACTGCTGAGGAGGTGGCTGCCTTGATCCGATCCCTTCCCGTGGAGGAGCAGCCAAAGCAGATCATAGTGACACGGAAGGGCATGCTGGACCCACTTGAGGTAAGGATGCAGCTCTGTGAGGATGTGTGAAATCTGTGAGATAACAGGACAGTTCTGTGTCCTGTGATGTTTTCAGTAGCTGTGAGCTAATTCCTCTTGATAAACTCCAGGTGCACTTGCTGGATTTCCCCAATATTGTGATCAAAGGCTCGGAGTTGCAGCTACCCTTCCAGGCCTGTCTGAAAGTGGAGAAGTTTGGTGATCTCATCCTGAAGGCCACTGAACCCCAGATGGTTCTCTTCAATCTCTATGATGACTGGCTGAAAACCATCTCTTCCTACACAGTAAGCACAGATGTGTCTGCTTTGCATTTTGCTGCTGATAAATGAGGCAGGAACCAAGGCCTCAGATATCCCTGATGATTTATTTGGGAGCACTTGGCTCTGAATCTGCCTGGATTTTCCTTTAGATGGCAGTTCCCATGTGCTCAAACAGAGGAATGCTGTACTAGGGCCTTGTACATTTAATTTTCTTCTTTCTAACTCCACCTTCTTTTCATCTCCAAGGCATTCTCCCGTCTGATCCTGATTCTCCGGGCACTACACGTGAATAACGATCGAGCCAAAGTTATCCTGAAGCCAGACAAGACAACCATCACTGAGCCTCACCACATCTGGCCAACCCTGACAGATGAGGAGTGGATCAAGGTGGAGGTGCAGCTGAAGGATCTCATCCTTGCTGACTATGGCAAGAAGAACAAGTAAGCCACTGTGCAGCTGCCATAATCCTGTCAGCCTTTCCTTCCTGCCCTAAAGGCTGTGCTTTGTCAGTGCACTCTCAGCTTTTTAGGGAATCTGGTTATTATTAACTTTCTGGTAAGGCAGATAAAAATATCTGCACTAAATCTTTGATCTGAGCATCATGTGATCATGGCCCCTCTTTTGTTTAAAAAGTTTAATTTTTTTTCATAGTGCCCAGAGTGGATGTTCTGAGCTTGTGCCTGAAAGTGAGAATGTATTTTGCTCTAGAATGTATTTTGAAATTCCTAACTTGGGTGAATTTTCTCTTCCAGCGTGAACGTTGCATCCCTGACCCAGTCAGAGATCCGAGACATCATCCTGGGCATGGAGATCTCTGCCCCATCTCAGCAGAGGCAGCAGATTGCAGAAATCGAGAAGCAAACCAAGGAGCAGTCGCAGCTGACGGCCACGCAGACCCGCACGGTGAACAAACACGGGGATGAAATCATCACCTCCACCACCAGCAACTACGAAACACAGACCTTCTCCTCCAAGACTGAGTGGAGGGTCAGGTAGGAAGGCAGGCAGGGGTGGTGGGAAGGGCTGGAATGCTCAGAGAGGTTTTTACTCCCCTCTGATCATGGTCTTCTCCTCACAGAGCAATTTCTGCTGCCAACCTGCACCTGCGGACAAACCACATCTATGTCTCATCGGATGACATAAAGGAGACCGGTTACACCTACATTCTTCCCAAAAATGTGTTGAAGAAGTTCATCTGCATCTCAGACCTGCGGGCCCAGGTGAGTGTGCAGGGCTTTGTTACAGTTGAGCCCCACTCAGACCCACCAGGGGGAAACTCCTGGTGAAGGGCTGGGAACCTGCTGTGGTTTGTCCACGTGAATGCCTCTGATGCTCTCCTCAGGAATTAAGGAGTTCCCACTTTCACAGTTAAACAGAGATCTCTTCTGGCCTTCTAAGGCAAGTGTGTGTGTTTTAGATTGCAGGTTACCTGTATGGAGTGAGCCCTCCAGACAACCCCCAGGTGAAGGAGATCCGGTGCATTGTGATGGTGCCCCAGTGGGGGACACACCAGACCGTGCACCTGCCAGGGCAGCTGCCACAGCATGAGTATCTCAAGGTGAGTTGGGTTCAGCTTCCAGGGTGGGTGGAAGGTCAGTAACAAGGACAGGAAGCTTCCCTTCGTGTTTTGTAGTTGTAGGACTGAAAGGGCTCAGTCTGAAGCCAAACCTGATTGAGATCAAGAAGGGGGAAGCCTGTGATCTCTGTGTCCTTTTTGCCAGGCTTGAAGTGGTCTCATTTTCAATGGTTTTGATTTTTCTCTAAACCACTCTCTTTTTGTCAGGAAATGGAACCTCTGGGATGGATTCACACCCAACCAAACGAGTCCCCTCAGCTCTCACCACAGGATGTCACCACCCACGCCAAGGTCATGGCTGACAACCCCTCCTGGGATGGGGAGAAGACCATCATCATCACCTGCAGGTGAGGGGCAGGGAGGCTTCTGGGGTGTTGCTGCAGAGCTGGGGAACCCAAAATAAAATTGGCAGAATGGGAGTGTTGGCTCATTCCTGGTTTCCCTCCTGTGCCCCAGGTGAGTCTGACTTGCCTCATGTCTTCTCCTTTTCAGTTTCACCCCTGGCTCCTGCACGTTGACAGCCTACAAACTGACCCCGAGTGGGTACGAGTGGGGCCGGCAGAACACGGACAAAGGGAACAATCCCAAGGGTTACCTCCCCTCCCACTACGAGAGGGTGCAGATGCTCCTGTCTGACCGATTCCTCGGCTTCTTCATGGTCCCTGCACAGGGCTCCTGGAACTACAACTTCATGGGTGAGCTGGCCTGGGGAGGGCAGGGGAAAGGAGGCAGTGTCAGGAGCTTAGGGAGGAGGGAATAGTTCCTTACCCACTCCAAAGCTTCCTCAGAACAGCTGGCAGGGATACAAACACTGTGCCCTGAACTTTCCTTGGTACCAGCACTGGGATGTCTGTTCAATGACTTTTTGGCGGCTAGAGAGGAAAAATAGATCCCTTGTCTGTGTGGATTGTAGTGCATGGTCTATCACCACTGAATAATTAATCCCTGTCAGCAGAAGAGATAATGGAAAATCCAAGAGAAAAGCTGTTCCCGGTAGGGAGGTCCTGGTATCATGAACACCACGGGCAGCTGGAGAAGGGGTCAGGAAAATGAGAGTGACAGAACACTCGACTAGCATAAAAGGACTGTAAATCTCTGGAGGGGAGGAACCCAAAGAGGGAGGGATGGTTTTGTGGGTTTAGAACTCTCTCTCCTGGCATGGAAACGATCATAGAAGGATGGAGGAGGCAGAAGGGATGCTCAGGTGAGTGACACTCCCTCTTTTCCAGGTGTCCGCCACGACCCCAACATGAAGTACGAGCTGCAGCTCGCCAACCCCAAGGAGTTTTACCACGAGGTCCATCGCCCCTCTCACTTCCTCAACTTCGCGCTGCTGCAGGAGGGGGAGGTTTACTCTGCCGACCGCGAGGATCTCTACGCCTAATCCTGCCCGCGTCCCTTTTAGTACTGTTGATATTCAACAGCGTGTTCGTGTGCCCCCCCTCCCTGTGCCCCGCTCGCCCCCCTCACCTCACCCCTGCGCGTTGTTGTTCCCCCCAACTTTTCCGCTCAATAAATTTTGTACGAACGGGAGCGCGGGCGGTCAGGTCGGTCCCGCCTCGGGGGCGGCCCCGGACGGGGCGGGCCGGGCCGGGCGGAGCGTGCGCGGGCACGGGGCGATGGCGGAGCCGCTGTGGCGAACGCCGCCGGGCCGGCTGGCCCCGCCGCACGTCTATCGCATGGCGGGGGCGCTGGGCGCCGAGCTGCGCCGCCTCTCCGCCCGCTTCGGGCCCGACGCCGTGTCCGGGCTGGTGCCGCCCGTGGTGCGGCTGCTGGAGCTGCTCGAGGCGCTGGTGGCCCCGGCGGGCGCGGAGGGGGAGGCGGCGGCGGCGGCGCCGCTCGGGCCGCAGGAGGCGGAGGTGAGCGGGGAGCGAGCGGGGACCTGCGCCGGTGGCGCCGAGCCACGCGTGTCCCCGCAGGAGTGGCCCTGGGGACGGCGCCCAGCAGGCTGTTCGCTTTTCCCGGGGGATGGGGCTGACACGGGTGTCCCACATTTTGTGTGACGGCTCCGACCCCGCTGTTCCCTTTCCCCAGGGCACGGATCTGACCCCGCAGCCCTGCATCCCCTGGGACAGCTCTGATGTGGCTGTGCCCTTCTCCCGGGGGATGGCTTCCCTGCTGTCTCCCATCCCCTGGGACAGTTCTAATCTCGCTATCTCTGTCCTCTGGTATGGATGTGACCCGGCTGTCCCCCCATCCCTTGGGATAGCTCCCACCTGTCTGGCCCAGCTGTCCCCCTTTCCGGCGTGGTGGCACTGACCCCGCTGCTTCCCGTCCCCTGGGACGGCTCTGACCTGGCTGTCACCGTCCCCTGGAGCAGCGCTGAGCTGGCTGTCCTGGCTGTCATTGCCCGCCGGGGGTGGCTCTGACCCGGCTGTCCCCATCCCCAGGACCCGGAGCAGAGGCTGTGGGAGGCTGAGCGCCGGGAGCGAGCCCTGCACGGCCGCCTGGCCTGCCTGGAGGAGCAGAACCGCCAGCTCCTGGGGCAGCTTGCCGAGAGCCAGTCCCAGGAAGGTGGGTTTGGGGTCCCCTGATGCCACAGGGTGTCCCTGTGGCGTGGCAGGCTGGGTGCAGGGCTGAACCTGTTCTGCTGCAGCCTGGAATGCTGCTCTCCTTTCCCTCACCTTGGAGAGCTGTCGCAGCAGGGAGAACAGGCATTACCTTGTTCTGCAAATCACAGCGATCCCAAACCTCCAGAGCACCTCAAAAGCCCTCAGGAGGGTGGTAGAGGCAGGCGCAGTGTGGGCTGCTGTGCCAACACAAGGATGTGTCAGGAATGGTTTAAAACTCTCAGTTCCCTTCTTTCCACTGTTCCCACTGTGAGATTACCAGGAACAAGTCAGACTTTGCGGGAGCACTGAGGAACTTTGTGGGTTTGGGGAGTCCCTGGGGACTCACTCCTCTCCGCTGGTCTGGTCTCAGACAGCACAGCACGGAAGGAGCGGGAGGTGATGCTGCGGCTGAAGGAGGTGGTGGACAGGCAGAGGGATGAGCTGCGTGCCCAGGCCCACGAGATCGTCTGCAAGAGCCGGGACACGGAGGCGGTGAGGGCGGGGGAGCTCAGGGGTGTGGTGTGCCAAGGGCCCGGGGACCTGCTTTCATGTCACATCCCCTCGCCCGGGGCTGTCACAGCTGCTGAGCCTGCTGGGACAGGTGGCACTGATGTCCCTGGGTGGGGACACTGCCTCACCTTTGGCTGCCCTTGGGCCCTCCAGCTGCAGGAACAGCTCCATCGCTTCATGGCCATGAACGAGGAGCTGAGGCACAAGGTGGCCGTGGTGCAGGCCCAGCTCAAGAGTGCTCTGGAGCACAAGTCAGACCTGGAGGCTGCCATGCTGCAAAGCCAGAGGGAAACGAGCAGGAGGAGCAGGACAGGCCTGGAGAGCCGGCGGCCAGAGCCTGGGGTGGTGAGTCTGAGCTGTTGGGCACCACCAGCACTGACCCTGCATTCCCAGCCTGCTGTGGGGCTTTTGGCACACCCAGACGTGGCTACTGAAAGAAAACTGAAAAAAAAACCCCACAGCTGAAAACTGAGCAGCGTGGTGTCTGCAATGCCAGCAACACCTTCTCTGTGAAAGCTGTTAAGGGTGGAGCAAGATGAGGTGACAGGAGTTAAAACTGGATGGGACACACAGGATGAGGGGAGTTGGCCACGTGTGGTGATGGGCTGAGATGGGGACATTCCTGGGACTTTTCCATTTTTGCCTGCATGTGTGCCCAGCCTTTGGGTGGGGGTTTTGAGGTCTCTGCTTGCCTGCTGACTCTCCAGGAGAGAGCTTCGTCACCCTCAGAGGAGCAGGAGCGCCAGGATGGGGAGAGGAGCCCTGCTCACTGCTGCTTCTCCAAGGAAGAGCTGCAGCAGATCCTGCAAGAGAGGAATGAGCTCAAGACCAACCTGTTCTTGGTACAGGAGGAGCTGGCCTATTACCAGAGGTGAGTCCTGTCCCTGCAGCCACCCCTGGCCCATCAGAGGCTGCTCCCACCACAGTCAGGGCAGAATCTTCCCCAGGCTCTTGGTTAACCAGCTGCCTGCTTTTTGCCAGGGAGCTGCTGAACGAGGAGAGAATTCCCAGCTTCTTCTTGGACGCAATGAAGTCAAATATCAAAAAACAGAGGAAAAAAATCAGAGCCAAAATGCTGGGAACAACAGAGGAGTCAGCGAGCAGGTGAGTCAGGCTGGGTGCTGGGATCCTCCCGTGCAGGGTGGGTGCTGGCTGGCCTGCTCCAGTGTTTCCATGTGTGTGATGCCCTGGATTCGAGCTTCCTCAAGCTCAGAGCTGCCTCCTCCCTCCAGAGATCAAAGGTTTGATGTCTGCAATTGATGAGTTGCTCTGGCATAGCTGTGCCACAGGGACTGGGCTTCCTGCTGCAATTCATGTGTCCCTGTCACCAGTCAGGCATGGCCTGGCCAAATGCCACTTGTCTCTGTGGGCATGTGACAAAAGGGAGGTGAGGTGGTGGCACTGGGAGCTCTGGACAAACTCTAGGGTGGCTCCAGCACTTGCTGCTGTGGCTCAGTGCAGGTTTACCCCCATTTCTTTGTGCTGCAGTGAAGAAGAGGAGGGCTCCTGGCTCCCAGGTCATGGCACAGACTGTGTGGATGCTCAGCCTCCAGAATCCAAAATTAGGAGCTTGTAAGTTTGCTCCTGGGCTGGTAGGGAGGTTCTGCCAGTGGAGAAGTTTGGGGCTTAGCTGGTACCTGGCACCTGTAGAGCTTGGCTATGATGGGAACAGGCTGGTGCAGGGCTGGCAAAACAGGGGTTGCTCTTTTAGGGGGATCTACCTTGTCCTGGATGTCACACGCTCCCAGGGCCTGCAGTGGGGCTGTGTTCTGCTGCCACTACCACAGAGGGAGGTTGGGGTTCCACATCCTGGGGGTGTTCTTCTCCCCCATAGCCCTTATCTGCTCTCTCTGCAGTTTTGGGTTGTGGTATCAGGGCAGCAGCAAAGATCCCCCCACATCCAGCTGCTCTGGAACCTGGGAAATCATCGACTCACTGGACACCCAGGTGGAGCCAGAGGGAGAGAGCAAGGCAGGGTCCAGCTCCCCTGACAGAGCCGTGGCACCACTCTGACCCCACAGGAACAGGAGCAGGATCTGTCCTCACAGCAGAATTTCCTGGATCCTCTTCTTCCAGTGGCTTCAAGAGCAGCACAACAGCCCTGGCACTTTCCCATGCTGAGGTGGTGACAAAGCCACAGCGTGGGCAGGTTCCTGCAAACCCACTGGGACACTTGGATGTGGGCTGCCAGCCTGGCATGGGACAGTTCAGCACCTCTGGGCATCTCTGCCCACCAGCCACCCTTTCACTGTGCCCACAGAGGGGCCTTCAGAGCTGTGCCCCCTCCCCACTGCTCCCTGCTTGCAGCTCAGCATGGTGGGGCTCTGCACCCTCTTCCTGCTCCACACCCCAAAAGGGATTTTCCCATCCCCTGGTGGCTCTTAGCAAACCCCTCTGCTCACAGCCCAGGATTCCACTGCCTCGTCCCGCTCTGTGGGGATGTTTTACCTCACCCTTTTCTGTCTGTCCCTCCCCAATCCCTGCAATGTGAAGGTCCAGTTGGGGTCACCACACGGCTGGGAGGGGCTGGGCACACTGCACTGGGTGTCCGGGTGCTCCCGTGGCTGGGAGCCATCAGGATCAGCACCACCGGGGCCACTCCTGCACTTTTCAGGCATGGGGTGAATCAGTTTTGTACTGGGACCTCTTCCTGCCACCTCTGGGACCTGGCAGACTGGAACAATCCTTGTGTTCATGGGGGCGAGTTGGTCCCCTCAGATCAGGTACTTTCTACCTTTAATTTGGAAATAAATCAATCTCTTGTTTCTCCTCTGAGGTTCTGGCTGCAGCCTGTGCTCTCTGCTTGGGAAGGGCTGGGTGATGCTCCCGGGTTTCCCTCACCCTTCTCCTAATGCCTGTGCCCCCTGAGCCGCTTGTGGTGGGTCAGCTGTGATGGGGAGGAGGCTCCAGGGGGGTGATCCCACAGTGCTGGCCATGGAAGAGTTAATTCTTGCATGGCCAAGGGGAGCACTGTGCTTCCAACCCAGAGCCCCCCCTCCGGCTGAGCTGGCCTTGGGTAGGAAAAAGGTGTTTCCTGTGCATCTGCTGACACAAAGCTCCTGGGGACACTGCGAGGTGGGACAGTGGCCAGCAGCCCTTCAAAGGCCAACATAGGTCAGGCTGTGTTGCCATGGGGACATGGGGACCCCCTCCTCTGAGCCCCTGCCAGGGGCTGGCAGTGCCGTGGGGTGGCTCATGGGGGTTGAGGCAGGGGGTGGCACCGGACACCTTGTTTGGGTTGGGGGAATGTTGGCTAAAGCAGCTTTGGGGGTGATGGAGGATTGCCCGGGGGGAGTGGGTTGGCACAGGTGAGATGTTCTGAAGATATCCAGCCCCTGTGTGGATGTGTTGAGCCCTGGGTGTCCCTTTCTGGAAGCCAGGGCCAAAAATAGCCGAGGCAGGAGCAGCATTCCCTGCTCCCTCTCCCCGCCGCACCCCTGACGTCTGGATCGGGCGCCTCCTCCCGCGTTTCCTCAGGAAAAACCCAAGGCTGGAGGGAGGAAGAGGCTGCACCACGGGTGGGACGGGACAGAGGGACACCAGCGTGGGGCTGGGGAGCCACCAGGACTGGGGCCCTGGTGCCCTGCTGGAATGGAGAGCGCCCGGCCCATCCTCTGCCTCCAGCTGTGGCTGTGGGTGCAGAGCTCTGCCCAGGAGCTCGACCCTGAGGGCAGGAATGTCTGCAGGTAGGTGCCACGGGGGTCCCCACTTGTGCCACTCCGTCTCTGGGCCTCTCAGCAGCCCCAGAGGGTTTTTGTCCATCCCTCCTTCCATGGACAGAGATGTGCAGCCTGGCACGGGGCGGGTGCAGAGACTGGGGTGGTGCTGGGGAGGGTGGTTGGGGCATGTCTGGGCATTTGGGGCATCAATCCCTTCTCCAGGGTTTATTTCTCATTCACCCTCTGAGCACAGGCAGTGGGGCAATATGGGAAAACTCATCGTGGGGAAACATCGGTGTAGCAAACCCCAAAGAGCTTTGGGAGCTGATGTCCCCTGAATTTGTTGCCGCGTTGCCTCTCCCGTTGTCTCCCATCAACGGTGACACCTTTCACAGCCTTCGCTTCGGTGCTTCATTTCTGCACCGCTGGCAAAGCTTTGAGCCTCTCCCAGGGCATGGGACACCCGGCAGAGCTCCATGGGGACATTCCCAGCACTTGGGGCAGGCCAGCCCCGCCGCCCACTTGGGCTGCAGCCTCCTAAATTTCCTTCTATTTTTCTGGTTTCCTTCCGGAGCGTTGCCCTGGGGGCCGCGCCGCCTTCTCAGCACTGGGGCAAGGATTGCTTCGCCTTGGCAGAGGCCATGGGGTTACCCTGGTCGCCCGGTCCTGACTGACACCCCCCGGTCCTGACTGACACCTCCCGGTCCCGGCTGACACCCCCCGGTCTCTCCCGCAGGTTCCCAGCCGGCCCCGCGTGTTGTCCTGGGTGGAAGCAGGACGGGAGGGAGTGCACGGTCGGTGAGTGATGGATAGGGATGAATCCCAGAGCGTGATCCCTACACTCATCCAGGAGGATCCTCTGAGTGTTGGGGGAAGCCCTGCAGCTCCGTTCGAGTGGGGTCCTGCCCCGTGGGGACCCCCAGCTGCTGCTGGTGCTGCAGCTGAGCCGGAGGGATGGAGCGGGGAGAGGGACGGTGTTTTCCCTGGGAATGCTGTCCTGGTGGGAGAGTGGCAGGTGCCGTGTGAGCCCAGTTTGGGGGGACAGAGAGTGCTGAGTGCCTTTCCTGCCACGACAGCCGTGTGCGAGGGGGAGGACGCCTGCAGGGAGGGCGAGGTGTGCGTGAAACCCGGGCTGTGCCGCTGCAAACCCGGCTTCTTCGGAGCAGACTGCAGCTCCCGTGAGTGCCTCCCCCGCTCTCAGCCCCTGCCATCCCCCTCTAAAGCCATCTGGATGCTCGGAGGGCTGCCGGCCTTCTCCCCATCCTGCCTGTGTCCTTTCCCCTCGCAGGCTGCCCCGAGCAGTACTGGGGCCACGACTGCAAGCGGAGCTGCCCGTGCCACCCCAACGGGCGCTGCGACCCCGAGAGCGGCCACTGCACCTGCGACCCCAACCACTGGGGAGGGCTGTGCCAGTTCCCCTGCCAGTGCGGCCCCCACGGCCGCTGTGACCCCCTGAGCGGCGCCTGCCACTGCGAGCCGGGCTGGTGGGCACCCAACTGCAGGAAGCAATGCCAGTGCAACCCCTCCACCTCCCACTGCGACCCCCTGAGCGGGCTGTGCCGCTGCCTGTCGGGCTGGTGGGGCAGGAGGTGCAGCTTCAAGTGCTCCTGCAACGTCTCGCCCTGCGCGCAGGAGACGGGCAAGTGCGAGTGCCTGGCTGGCTACTGGGGACCGGCGTGCCAGCGGCGCTGCGACTGCGGGCACGGCTCCTGCAGTCCCGTCACTGGCCACTGCACCTGCGAGCCTGGCTACCAGGGCAGGAGCTGCCGGGACCCCTGTCCGGCAGGGAAATACGGATCTCAGTGCGTGCACAGGTGAGATGGGGAGCAGGAAGTGGCTGCAGTCAGCTCTCGGGGAAGGCACTGCGCCTGTGTCTGTCCCTTTGGATGGGCAGAGAGACCCGTCCTGGGGGTTTGAGCATTCCAGGTTGGATGCAGCATCAGCGTTGCCCCAAAAGTAACACATTGCCAGTAGAAACTGTCACCCTAAGATGTGGTCGTCCTTAGTCCCGCTCCCCGTAGTGATAAAGCAGCAGCTCCCAACTCAGAATATTCTATAATGCTTCCCTCCCACCCTCTTGCTGCCACAGAGCATTAGGCACCACTGTGTATTTCCCCTTGGTCCAAAATGATGCTCAGTGATTTTGTGGGGCGAAACCTGCATTTTGTGGGGTGAAAGCAGCTTTTTAGGGGAACAAGGGCGGGCGTTGTGACCTCAGTGCCTCTCTGCCCACGCAGCTGTGGGAGCTGCAAGCGCAGCCAGCCCTGCTCGCCCGTGGATGGTTTCTGCCTGGCCTGCCAGCCCGGCTGGAACGGGACCCTCTGCAAGGATCCCTGTGCTCCTGGGTTCCATGGCGAGGGCTGTCTCCAGCTGTGTCCCCGCTGCCAGCATGGGGAGCCCTGTGACCCCCAGACCGGGTTCTGTCTGCGCTGTGATCCTGGCTGGACGGGTCCCAGGTATGCCCAGGGTTAGGCCACTGCTGCCTCAGGTGTCCCTGCTCTGGGGTGCAGTCACTGATGCTTTGCTGTTTTGGCAGCTGCAACAGCTCCTGCCCCGTGGGCACCTTCGGTGATGGCTGCCAGTTCCTCTGCCCCGAATGTGTTTCAGGAAGCTGTGACCCCGTGACAGGAGTTTGCATCTGCCAGGCAGGCTACTGGGGAGACAGGTAATGCTGGGGAGCCAGGAAAATGCTGGGATAATGCTGGAGTGGGGCTTGGCTGGAGCCTTGCTCTCTCCGGGGGCATTTCCCTCCTTTCCTCTCTCTTCCAGCTGCAATGACACCTGTCCTGAGGGGTATTTTGGAGTGAATTGTTCCTCTCCCTGCCAATGCTCCCGGGGGACCTGCGACCCTGTGCAGGGCGACTGTGTGCTGAGTAAGATTAACATCACATTTCCTCCTTGGCACTGGGCAAGGCACGGTCACATCCTCACTGGGGAAGGTGCTGGGATGGACCCTGGTGCCTCCTGGCCCTACCAGGAGTTGTCAGCTCCTGCTCTCTCCATGCAGGGCTGTTCTGTAGGCGTCACAGCCACAGGACATGCCAGGCTCAACCCATCTCCTCCACAGGTTTGAAGGACCACGGAGCCCTTGCAGCTGCCATCCTTGTCCCTCTCCTGCTGCTGCTGCTCTGTGTTGTCTGCTGCTGCTGTGGTGCTGGCTCAGCAGATGCCAGAGACAGGTATTTTTTCATATTTTTCAACCTTTGACACAAAACCCCTTCTCCTGTGTCCCTTGATGTCCACCTCTTCTCTGCAGGGCGGCTGTGCCTGACGATGATGTGGTGGCCAGGATGAAGCACCACGTGCAGGGGGTGCTGGCCAACCTCAGCGCTCTCGTGCCCTGCTTTAACCTGGGAGCCTCAAAACTTCCCAAAGTCACAGGTAAGCAAAGCAGAGCTGCCGACAGCACTTCCAGAAGTGCTGCATTCTCTGCACTCTCTGTCTGGGGGGAAGCCTGAAACCCCTCTCCCCCCGACCACCCTGGGGTGCTCAAGTTCAGCTGGGTGTCTTTTCCTCCCCAGTTTCCCATCACGACATGGAAATCCCCTACAACCCCAGCTTCATCGAGCCCCCATCTTCTGCGTGGGTTTCAGACAGCTCCTTCTCCTCCTTTGACACGGACAACGAGGGACCCGAGTACTCCGTCCCTCCCAGAGAAGGTGACGCCCATGGCTGCTCCTCCTCCTCCTCTCTGATCACCTCTGGCCCGCCGGGATCAATCCTGGCCGTCCCGGGGAGCTGTGCTTGCCACAGACAGTGTTTATTTCCTTGTCCTTGTTTTCCTGTCTGCAGGGCTGTGTTTGGCCGTGTGCGATGGGACGTGCCCAGTGGGGCAACCCCATTTCACAAACTCCTCCTTGGGAAACGATCCCAGGGACAATCCTATTGCATCAGCTCCTGTCCCATTTTCCTCAGTTATGTCCCCGGGCAGGGTGACAGCTGTAACACGTGTCACCTTGTCCCACAGGCATCCCGCTGCTGGGTGGGGCTGAGTTGCAGGATGGAGCACCCCGCCCTGGCCAGGCGCTCCCGGACCCGTCCGCCTTCGACTCCGAGGATGTCTCGCAGCCCTTCGCCATCCCCCGCACCTCCAGCATCGCTAAGGCCAAGCGGCCCTCTGTGTCCTTCGCCGAGGGGACAAAGTTCGGGGCGGCCGAGACGCCCAGCCCCAGCAGGAAGCCCAAGGCGCCTTGGGGCCCGTCCAGGCTGACCCCACCGCCCGGGGATGCGGCGGCCGAGCCCCCCGGCGAGCGCCCGGCCAGCGACTGCTACGAGAACCCCGAGCCCCTCAGCAAAGGGGACGAAAGCCACCGGCCATCGCCTCGGGCCACCCCGGGGGGACGGCGCAGGGTGGTGTCCAGCACCAGGCATGTGGCTCAGAGAGTGGAGGCGCTGGAAGCAGCTGCGAAAGCCGGCAGCTGGGAGGCGAAGGGGAGGGAACCCGATGTCACCACCATCTACATGGTGGTGGGAACGGCCGGGGAGGATCCCAAGGCGGAGGGGACTGGCGAGGGTCCGGTCCAAGCTGTGCTGAAGCGTCTGGGCAGCTTGCAGAAGGGCAAGTGGGCTGCGAAGGAGGAGCCCAAAGTGAGGAGGAGCATGGAGGCCATCCAGAAACCTCCTCGGCGGGCCCTGGCACAGCGCAGGGACTCGGAGAACAGCTGCAAGCAGAGGGAGAGTGTGCCCGGAGCTCCTGCCGAGTCAGCCCCTGGCAAGCCCCAGCATACCGCTGCAAAGAGACTGTCCCTCCTCCTTGCGTCTCTCTCGTCAAAAAACACCGGTGCTCAGGACGGGGCCAGTGAATCCGTAGGTGCTACAGAGAAGGGCAAAAGCCCGGAGTTTATTGGCAGCCTGGAAAGGAAAGGACATGCTGCGGCAGAGGAAGAACCAAAATACGAGAATGTGGCCAGCAGCGGGGCTGATTCGCCCTCCGGTCCCGGCAAAGAGCTGCTGGCCACCCCTCCGGCCACCTGAGCCACCCCTGCCCGGGCTGGGGCCGGGGAGCTACGGGAGCCACGGGGCTCCTTCCAACCCCAGCCTGGGGGAGCCGAGCTGTGAACTGGAGCTATGAAGATCGAGCCTTCCTGGGGATCCCCTCCCTTTCCTCCGAGCCGTGCGGCTGCTCTGGAGCCTGGCTGAGGCCGCAGCGGGGACAGCCTGTGAGGCTGTGGTGCTTGAGGGATGTTTTCTTCTCCTCCCTGCCCCACCAGCCCCATTTGTGTCTGCACAGCCCCGGGGGACAGCGATGCTCTGGATGCTGTGGTGGCGCGCTCAAGTCCCTGGGGACGTACCCAATGCTGCTGAATGCTCAGCTAGGAAATGCGTGCACAAAATCCAGTCTCACCCCATGGGTTTTCACCTTTCCCTGTCCCAATTCCAGTGATGCAGCTCGGAGCCTCTTGCTGTAAAGGTGCTTCTCGCTGAAGGGGATTATTTTGTGGAGCTGGGCTGGGATGATGGGCTGTCACAAGCAGTTTCAGAGAAAATTAATTTTAGCTGCTTATCTCAAAGGGTATCTGGGTCTGTGGGGGTTTATCTGTGTGGCTCTGGCTTCTGTGGCAAGCCCTGGCTGTCTTTGCTTCCATGTGGAAAAGCTCATGGCAGGACACAGGGTGTAGTGACAGCCTTTTAGACTCCACACGGTTCCAAGCTGCAGTTGTGCAAACGTGGCAGCTGGGCAGTGACCATCAACCTGTGCACCTGGCACCGTGCTGATAAGGCTGGAAGTTGCCTGGAAAATGGGATTTCCATGGGTGCCCTAAGCTCCTTCCACCTCCCACGCCTCGTTCCTGCTGTAAAGGCGGTTGAGATGCCAAAGAAGATTTGCAGAGTGATCTGGGTTTAGATGTATCTATGTAATAGAAGGTTTTTGTGTATTTTTTCTGTTGTTCTGCATGTGTGAAAGCCTAGGAACGAAAATTAAATGCCCTACAGGAGATGGGTTTCCCAGCCACACTTTGAGTCGAAGATACAACCAGGAATATTCTCCAGAGTGTGGAAACTGTCAGCAGCCCTAGGCTTTCCATTTGGGGTTTTAAAAAAAATGTTCTGGCTCTGTTGAATTCCGAATTGTCACTCACTGAGCTGAGCCCTGCGCAGAGCCCAAGACTGGAGTGCATGAGGAATGTGAGTGGGCTGTGAGTGTCCAGAGCTCCTCTGCTGCAGCCTGCACCTCACACATCAAGTGCAGAGCTCCACATGAATCCTTCTGGTCTGGGGTTTGGGATTCAGGGTTTAGGGTGTTTCAGAAAACACTGTGGGTTTTGCTTTTTCCCTTTTGCTTTTCACGGGTGCTTCTCCACAGCACAAGGCACTAAATCCCCACAGTCTGACGTGGCTGAAGCTTCCAGTTTTGCAGCCAGCACGAAGTACCCTTTCCTGCAGTGGAATCATCTGCTGCTGGGATTATAACACCAAATACTCTGGCATCCAAATAAAACTGCTCATCCTGGCAGGACTGGAGCAGCAGCCTGTTCTGCACAGGCTTGCTTTTGTTTTGACACCGTTTTATGACAGCGGCAGGGACAGTCCCACATTTGATTTATAAGCAGCCATTTTTTCCCTAATGGGGTGGATATTTTGAGCCTGTGAGCTGAGCAGTGCTGTGCCAGAAGTGAACATCACGTGCGCCAGTTCACTCTGAGTGCAGCGTGTAAATAGCTGACAACAACCTGACAGCCTTCACGACCCGCTCAAACCAGCGCCTGGTTTGAGAAAACGCTGCTGCTGGGAGAATCTTGTGTGTCCATGGAGCCAGGATGTTCCCCCTGCCTGAAGATGAAGCATCTCGGCGGTGAAAGGGAAAGGAGCTGCAGATTTCCAGCGTGTGGCTGCCCATGCACACTCCTGCAGCCTGGCTGCGCTGGTGTCTGCTTGCTGGGGATGCTTCCGTCGGGGTTTAGCTCTGGATGTGAGAGGTCTGCAAGGCAGAGCTGGCGGGTGAAGGAGGGGGGAATCTCTTCCCGTGCTGGATCTCTGACTTTGCAAAGCTGCTGCAGTGTTTGGAAGGCAGGCAGTGGGAAGGGATCCATACGCAGGTGCTGTCTGTAGGCAGAGAGGTGTCTGTGTGCTCTGCTGGGGCAGCAACAGACGCTGGCGCTGTCCCTGGGGTCTGTCCCATGGTGTTCTGTCCTTGTCATCCTGTCAGTCTTGTCATCTCCTTTCCCAAACTGCCCAAGCCTTTGGAAAGCACCTCATCATTTACCCCGGTGGCTGTGCCAGAGCAGAAGCTGTCACCTCTCTTCCAGCCTAAACTCATTCCTGGCCAGTTTCTAAAAACATGTCTCTGTGTCAGTGCTGTTCTTTGGCTTCACTTTATTTTTTTTCTCCCCACGCTGTTTACTCAATCCCTGGGGTATTTATAGCTGGTCATGGATCACCTGATAGCTTCTTTTCTCCTTCTAGGATAGGAAAACTGAGCCCCCCCGCTTTTGCTGTGGCAAAGGGTGCCTGTGACCCCAAACAGCCTCTGAACCTCCTCATGCTCCTCCCTGTCACAGTTTGTGTTTTTTGGACGCAGCAGCCAGGTCTGGGTGCTGAGGTCTCCTGGGTCTCGTGCTGTCTCAGCCTTCCTCTACCTCTGTTAAGCACCTGGCTGTGATCCAGGCTGCCTTGTTTTCTTTGGGCTTTTTGTTTGTTTGTTTCCATTGGCTTAAATCCGCCTTCCAGCTGTTGAAACGTTTGATCCCTGTCACACAGCCAAGGCCGAGGAGTTTCCTCTTCCCGCTCAGGGATGGAGTGGTGGGGACACGTCCGTTTGTCTGGGGCCCTCTGCTTCCTCTGGGGTGTTTACCTGCCACAACTGCTGTTTTCATCTCCTTTGGCTGAGAAAATATCCCCTATAAAGATTCTAGGAATTCATGGCCACGTCTTCTTGACCCAGGACCTCCCTAATGAGGGATGGATTTATGGAAGGTCTAGAAATACCTCAGGGGAATGCTCTGAAAAATAATTTAACAGAAAAAACGAGGGCAGAGCTCTGGTGCAGTCAGATGTGAAACTGGCTTTTAATTATATTACTTTTATTTCATGAAACTGGGCTGCATCCCCAGCAGTGTGATCAACAGGTTTAGTGATGGAGTTTTCCCCCTTTACCCTGCTCAATACCTGGAGTATTGAGTCCAGCTGTGAGGATCCCAACATAAAAAGGACAGGGATGTGTTGGAGTCTGGAGGAAGCCACAATGATGATCAGAGGCTGGAGCAGCTCTGCTATGGACAGGCTGAGAGAGCAGGGGGTGTTCAGCCTGGAGAAGGGTGAAGGAAGACTTGACAGCACTTCCAGTGCCTAAAGGGGATCCGAGAGAGCTGGAGAGGGACTTTGGACAAGGGATGGAGTGACAGGACAAGGAGGAACGGCTGACAGAGGGCAGGGTTAGATGGGATACTGGGAAAAAATTCTTCATGATGAGGCCTTGGCACAGGTTACACAGAGAAGCTGTGGCTGCCCCACCCCTGGAACTGTCCAAAGCCAGACTGGATGGGGCTTGGAGCAACCTGATCTGGTGGAAGGTGTCCTTGCCCATGTCAGGGGGTGGAATGAGATTATCTTTTAGGTTCTTTCCAACCCAAACCTTTCTGTGACTCTTTGAATGAGCTGTGTCATGGACTGGGGTGTCTCGAGGACTCATTGCCCCTGTCCAGCTGTGCCATGAGGGTGGTCAGCCCTGAGCTCTGCTGGATGTTTGCTCCCAAATTGCCCTTTTAATGGTGTGGAGCAGCTTCTCTGCTCTCTCTCCTTGAGCGGCACAGGCACATTCGCAGGACGGACCCGGCGCCTGCACCCACAGCAAGTGAGCAATGTCGCGGGTGCTGTTCCCGACACGGCTCCCCGTGCTCGGCGGGGCTCTGCTCACAGCGCTGCGGCTCCCGCGGCCGCCGCCCGGGGCCGGCGGAGACCGGCGGAGAGCGGCAGCGAACCCCGCGGGGCGATCCGCGCTGTCCCCGCGCCGTCGTGCCGGGCGGGGGAGCCGCATCGCCTCCCGCCGCCGGTCCCGTTTTTGTCGCTTTTCCCTGGAAGGCGGCGAGCCCGAGCAGCCCTGGGGTGCCGCTGTCCCCGTGTGTTTGTGTGTCCGTGTCCCGCTCGGCCCCGTGCCCAGCCCCGGTTGTCGCACCCGGGGCGTGCGGCTGTCTCGGGAGAGCCCAGGTGCAGCCCGGGGCGGGGTACCGGAGGATAGAAGAGGGTACCGGGGGGTACCTGCATATCGGGAGTATGTACCGGGAGTACCGCAGGAGTACCGGGGGAATCCCGGAGGAGAAAAATATCAGGGGATACGAGGAGATATCTGGGGATACCGTCGGGGGGAAAAGAAGTGGGGTGGTTACCGGGAGAAGACATCGGGGGGTACCATGGGATCCTAGCGGAAGATACCGGGGGTATCCCGTGAGGGGGGTCCCGGCGGTATCCCGTGGGGATATGAGGGTGTCCCGTGAGGGGGTCCCATGAGGGGATCTCGTGAGGATATAGGGGGGCATGACGGGTCCCATGAGGGGATCCCGTGGGGATATGGGGGCGTCTCGTGAGGGGTCCCATGAGGGGGTCCCGGGTGGGGATATGGGGGTGTCTCGTGAGGAGATCCCGTGGGGATATGGCGGGGTCCCGTGAGGGGGTCCCGGGTGGGGGTCCCGTGAGGGGACTAGGGGGGGGCGCGAACCGGCACGTGCCCCAGCGGCAGCGGCGCGCGCGGCCATTGGCTGAGGCGGCGGCCAATCGGCGCACGCGGCTGTTTTGCCTCCGAGGGCGGATAAAAAGCCCGGGTGGGACCGCGGTGGAGCGGAGCGGGCGCGGCACCGGCGGTGAGCGGGGCACGGCGCCGGGCATGGCGGGGGGGAGCCCGCACGGGGATTGCGGGGGCTGGCGGAGCGCCCTGGGGTTTGCACGGCACAAGGGCAGTGCGGAGGCGCGGGGGGCGCCGGAGGATTCGCGCGTGGGAGTGGCTAGGCGGCGGAGGGAGAGGGGATGGAGAGGGGGAGCGT